CCCTGAGTATGTGTCACTATTCCCTGTTTGTTTCTTTGTATATATGTATTTTTTTCCTGAAAATTGGATGTTTTAGGTAATATAGTATAATAATGCTGGATTCTGATTTATTTTTGAGAGTTTTTTTTTAAACTAAGTCTCTTGGACTTAAGCTGTGGTATCTGTCTCTTCCTATGGCAATGATGTCTTTGCTCAGTTTTTATTCTTAATATTTATTTATTTAACTTTATTTTCATTTTATTTTTTATCTTGACTTCCTACTATTCATCCCATTAAGCTATGTCTGCATAGCTTAGTGGTCAGCTGATAATGTGAAATTATGCTCAGATGCCTTGAATTTTTAAGGATTCCACACTTTGGCAATAACCATGTGCTGTGGCTCACGCCTGTAATCTTAGCACTTTGGGAGGTGGAGGTGAGAGGATTGCCTAAGCCCAGGGGTTTGAGACCAGCTTGGACAACTTGACAAGACCTCTTCTGTACAATAAATCAAAAAAATTAGCCAGGCATTGTGGCAGGCACCTGTAGTCCCAGTTACTCAGGAAACTGAGGCAGAAGGATTGCTTGAGTCCAGCAGGTGGAGGTTGCAATAATCATGAGCATGCTATTGTACTCCTGGGAGACAGAGTGACTTCAACTTAAAAAAAAAAATCTGTGTATGTAGGTTGAATATTCAAAATTTAACCAGTTTTAAAGTCTCTCTTGTTTTTTACTTTCTGTTGGGATCTTTATGCACATGTCCATATTGCAGTCATCCAGGGATGTGTGAAGAGCCTCTCTGGTCCCTCTAAGATTTCCAGAATCTTATGTGACATTTCTTACTGATTCACCACTCATTGTAAAGTTGCAGTATTCTCCTGTTCATTCTCAATGAATTAACTACATTGAGTTGATGAGCTAATGGCCTTTTTCCCCCACTCTCCAAACCCAGCTTGTCTCTTAGAACAGAGTAGCTGCTAGTTTTCCCAGTCAGCCTCACACTGGTCAAACAACCATTCTTGCAGCAGAGCTTGGGAGTAATGGTGATGGCAAGAAAGTCAGAGACTCCTACTATTCTTTTTTTTTTTTTTGAGTTGGATCTCACTCGGTCGCCCAGACTGGAGTGCAGGAGCCGCTCCCGACCACCGCAGCCTCACCTGCTGGGCTCCGGCGATCCTTCCGCCTCAGCCTTCTGAATAGCCGGAATTACAGGCATGCGCTACCGCGCCCGGCTGATTTTTTGATTTATTGTAGAGATGGTCTCGCTGCCCAGGCGGGTCTCGAACCCGCAGGTTCAGGCAATCCACTCACCTCAGCCTCCCAAAGGCGTGGGATTACAGGCTGAGCCACCGAGCCCGGATGACTCCTGCTATTCTTAACCAAAGTTCTAACAAACACTAGATTTTTAAGAATAAATGCTACTTGATTTCTTGTCTATCTTGGTCAATTTCCAGAGTCTCAGATGGTTGATTTTTAAATTTTTGTGTAGAGGTTTCACTAACTTTTTCATATTACCACAGCCAAAGTCTCTCTTGCCCTTAATTTTTTAAACTCATTTAAACATAGTTATTTTAAAGCTTATCTCTGATAACTCTGATACTTGGGTTCCTGGGTATGTGTGTATTTTCATTGTTTATTTTTCTTTTTGTTTTCAATGACATGCTATTTCCTAATGAGCCTGGTTATTTTTGATTGAATGTAGACATTGCACCTGCAAATCAAGAAATAATTTGATATCACCTACTTTGCTTTACTATAAAGCTACAATAATCAAAACAGCTTGGTATTGGTACAGGAACAGGCATATAGACCAATGGAATAGAATTGAGATTCCAGAAGCAAAACCTTAATTTCTCAACCAACTCATCTTCGACAAAGCCTCCACCACCTACCACTGGGGAGAGGAGAACCTATTCAGTAAATGGTGCTGGGAAAACTGGCTGACCAAATGCAGATGATTCAAACAAGACCCCTATCTATCCCCATACACAAAAATGAACTCTAAATGGATTAGAGACCTAAATGTAAAACCTCAAACCATAAGAACCTTAGAAAATGCAGGATGCACCCTTATGGAAATTAGAACTGCCGTCCAATTCTTCAACAAAACTCGAAACGCACGGGCTATAAGAGATAAGATGGACAAGTGGGACCTCATTAAACTGACAAGCTTCTGCAAAGCCAGACAAACCATCAAGAGAGCAGGGAGACAGCCCACAGATGGGAAAAAGTATTTGCCACCTCCATGTCTGACAAAGGCCTAACATCTTGGATCTACAAGGAACTCAAATATGCTGAAAAGAAAAAACCAAACAACCCCATTATAAAGTGGGCAAAAGATATGAACAGATACTTCACAAAAGAAGACATACGAGAGGTCAACAGACACATGAAGAAATGTTCAACCTCACTAATTATCAAGGAGATGCAAATTAAAACTACACTGAGATACCAGTCAGAATGGCCATTATCAATAACTCAAAAAAATAACAGATGCTGGAGAGGATGTGGTGAAAAGGGAACACTTCTACACTGTTGGTGGGAGTGTAAACTAATGCAACCTTTGTGGAAAGCAGCGTGGAAATTCCTAAAAGCTCTAAATATCGACCTCCCATATGGCCCTGCAATCCCCCTACTGGGAATATACCCTGAAGAACTCAAAACACTCTATCAAAAAGATACCTGCACATGTATGTTTATTGCAGCATTGTTCACAAAAGCAAGAACCTGGAACCAACCATGCTGTCCATCAAAAGAGGACTGGATTTAAAAAATGTGGTACATATATATGATGGAATACTATGCAGCTATAAAAAAGAACAAAATCATGAATTTTGCAGCAACCTGGATGGAACTAGAGTCTATAATACTGAGTGATTTTTCACAGCAACAAAGATCTGAGTATCACATGTTCTCACTCAGAAGTGGACCCTGAACCTCTATCGTAATACTATAAGAAAAGGATCGACAGTGGTGGGAATCTTTGGGGGGGGGAACAGGGATGGCAGGTAGGATTAACGGTAGTCAATATCTGTTTGGGGATGGGGGGACACCTCTTATCAACAAGGGTGCCTGAATGATGCATATTTGTATACCTAACCCTCAACTGTACCCACAATTTTAAAATAAAAATATATTTAAAAAATAATAATAATAATTTGAAGCTTATTAGAATGTTATCTTCTGTCAGAAAGTGTTTTGTGCTTATGGCAGGCACTAAAAATCTCAGATAAACTTAATCTCATGTTAGGGACTGGGGTTAGGTGAAGCAGGGTATTATTGTCTGTTGTGACTAGTCTATTTAAGGTTTACCCTTCTTCCTAGGATGTCCCTTGCCCTTCATGGACCTGACCCAAGACATCAGCAAGTTACGAGACTAGGCAGGTCACAGACTTCAATTTTGCTTAGCTTCTCTGTCTTTTGGCTTCCTCTTCTGAAATGAGTAGATTCCCCTTTAGGAGAAGCAGCCTCGAACACCAGGCACACTACTCTAGGTATTCTTTTTCTTCCAGATCTTGGTCTCATGTACTTCACTATCTTGTTGTATTCCAACGTCCTCAAGTGATTAAAAAAATTTTAATCCAACTTTTTTTTTTTTTTTGAGTTGGAGTCTCACTCTGTCATCCAGACTGGAGTGCAGTGGCTGCTCCCAGCCGCCACAGCCTCGACCTGCTGGGCTCCGGCGATCCTTCCGCCTCAGCCTTCCGAGTAGCCGGAATTACAGGTGCACACTACCATGCCTGGCTAATTTTTTGATTTTATTGTAGAGATGAGGTCTCGCCCGCCCAGGCGGGTCTTGAACCCGCGGGCTCAGGCAATCCACTCACCTCAGCCTCCCAAAGGCGCGGGATTACAGGCTGAGCCACCTGAACCTGGCTTAATCCAACTTTTTAAAGTTATTCCTTGTGGGAATGTTGATTTGAATTGTCCAGTTCACTATTATTGGTATTTTGCAATCTAATCTTAAAGTGCTAACTTATATTTTCATTACTTTCTTATATTTCCTTAAACTTTCTAGGCATTTTGATTTAGCATTTTGCATGAAAGATACCAATATTTCAATGCAATCCTTTCTAGGTCTGACTGCCATCCGTTGTTTCAGCAGCTTTCTCCATTGCCTTGTTTTCTTGTGTGTTTCGTATTTCTTTTTTAATACTGTGAACTCACATTATTTTAAAGGTTTGTGGGATTCTTTTGAGTTGAAATGAGTTTTTCTAGGGGGAGTTTTATTGCTTCTGTACAGTGCCTATACAAAGATTCTCCCCAAGGTAGTGCAATTTCATACACAGGTCACATGAAAGGGTTAGCTTGTAATCATAAATCCTGGAGAGCTATTTTTTAAAAGTCTCCATTAAGAACCAATGTTAGAAATAGGCTGATAGTATCCTCAGGGAGGGTGGGTACTTGGGTTTGTTTCTAATTCAACCTTGGCCTGAGAGAACACAGGCTTCATAAGGTTTACATTGAGATTTGCTTTCTGTTCCTGTGCCCTCAAGAAAGTAAACAGAGCCCATAAACTGGCTTTACTGTGAGGGAATTTGCCATTGGATATCCAATGTTTACGTCTCTGGTTTCTCACTGTCACTTAGTTGTGGGTACCTTAGTATTTCTTACTTGCTTGCCAATAAGTCAAGGCATAAAAGGAATTTTTAAACCTTTAATCAACAGTTTTAGTGGATTTTAGATAGAGGGTCTGTCTGTGACCATGATGTTAGAAATGAAGTCTCCAGCGAATTTCTTCACCATTTGCCTTCTTGTAGAGAATACGGCAGGGGTTAGGGTATAGGGTAGATATAAGGAGACAGACCAGGAGAGCTAGGTTGCCTAGGTTCAGATCCTGTTTCTGCAATCACTAAGTCTTAGTGATTCTTAACCAATTTGCTTAATTTCCCTTTCTCATGGATTCCACATAAGATTATTGGAAAGAGTAAGTGTGCAGAGTTCATAGAACCATACCTACCACTGTGCTCAGTAAAAGCCTGCTATGGTGATGATGACACAGACCACCACATCACACTTACCTGGTCTTGGACATCCTCGTCACACAACTCCAGCTGCATAATCCGTTCAAAAGGTCGGAAGAGTGCTTCATTAAAGTGAAAGTGGGGCGGCTCGTTCCAGTTAGTGAGAACCTCTGTCAGTATGTCATGGATGAAGGAAACAGCCTTCTGAGACACATGTCTTTCCTTGTGGCAGGCAGCCTGCAAAATTCATGAGTGAGGGGAACATCGTCAGGATGTGAGGCAAGTGAGATGGTGGTTTCTGAGGGCTTTCCTAACCCACCACATTTCATGGAGGTAGAAGCAGCAACTCTGTTCAATCAATCAAAACATTCTGAGGGATAAGTACAGTTGAACCGCTCACTAAAGTGCATCTTTAAAAATTTAGCCAGCTTATTAGGCACAACTCCAGTTTCTCTTTAATCTTTCTGGGAAAATAAAAGTTTCTAATAATTTCTTTTTGTGCAGCATGAAAGTATCCTAGACTGGTATAGAACATGCTCACCATAAAGACACCAGAATCTAGTCTAGGAACTACTCATGGTTTCAACTTTAGCTGTGCCCCAAACTTATGAAGATCAGATGAGTCATCTGTTCCTCAGTCAGGTGGGCCAATTGCCATGAGAGTGCTAATTGATTCACACTTTCTAGTAGCCATGCCCTGTAGTGGTCCTCTCCCATAATGACCCTGGGCTTGAATGTGTGACTTACTCTGACAAAGTGGAATTCAAACAAAGATTATATAAGTAAAGAATTTAAAAGTAGCTGTGATTTGGGGCTTGCCTTCTTGCTGTTCTCTGGAATCCTAAGAACACCATGTAAACAAGCCAGAGCTGGCTTGCTGGAGGCTAGTCTCCACAAAACACCATGTAGAGAGAGACCAATTTCCAGTTAAGGCCATCATGCACCAGCTGGCCCCAGTCTTTGTAGCAGCTGACCATAGATACACAATTAAGGCTAGTTGAGATCAATCAAGCCCGGCTAAGACCAGAACTACCCAGATGACCCACAGAATCATAAGCTAAATAAATGGTTGTAGCTTTAAGTCACTTAGCTTTTGGGGTGGTTTATTATAGTATAATAGATAACTGATATACTATTTCCCCATGACGAAGTTGCCATTTTCTACCCTTTCCCCCTACTAGAATATTCTCAGGTTGGTAATTAAGTTCTAAGTAACATTTTAAGACACATCTCTATCAGATAAATACTAAAGGGCTACTAAAAATAGTTATCACAGCAAAACAGGGCAGCAATTTCCCCATCAACTTTTAAGTAGCCAATCTTCACGTACTAAGATGCTTAGACACAGAGTTGCCATGATCACACAACTGCTTTCCTTTAAAGAGTGAAAGAGTCCTAGTATTAATTTTGTTGGGAAAACCAGGACATATGGTTTCCCCCATGAAAAGACATTGACCTGAGTATATTTAGTTTTAGAAAAGAAGGACAGGTAGGAACCAAAGATGTTACTATATTTATGTACAAAAATGAACATACTAGGAACCATCTACTGTCTTTCAGTTCTAGACTCAGTCTGATACCAGATTAGAAAGAATGAAAAATGGCTATGTAAGGTACCTGTACCTAGCTGAGTCACATAATTATAAAGAAAGAGAGTCATTGTGAGATCAGAGTGGCAGTGCCCTTTGGGGTGATTTTTTTTTTTTTTTTTTGAGTTCGAGTCTCATTCCGTCACCCAGGCTGGAGTACAGTGGCATGCTCACAGTCACCCCAGTGTCGACCTGCTGGGCTCAGGTGATCCTTCTTCCTCAGCCTTCCAAATAGCCAGAATCAGAGGTGTGCGCTACCATGCCCAGGTAATTTTTGATTAATTGTAGAGACGAGGTCTCTCCAAGTTGCCGGGGCTGGTGTCAAACCCGTGGGTTCAGGCAATCCACTCGCCTGGGCCTCCCAAAGTGCTGGGATGATAGGCTGAGCCACCAAGCCCAGCCTGTGGTGATTCTTTTTTTTTTTTTTTTTTGAGTTGGAGTCTCATGCTGTCGCCCAGACTGGAGTGCAGTGGCCACTCTCGGCCACCGCAGCCTCGACCTGCTGGGCTCCGGCGATCCTTCCGTCTCAGCCTTCCAAGTAGCTGGAATTACAGGCGCACGCTACCACACCCAGCTAATTTTTTGATTTATTGTAGAGATGAGGTCTCATCAAGTTGCCCGGGCGGGTCTCGAACCCACGGGCTCAGGCAATCTACTCACCTCAGTCTCCCAAGGCATGGGATCACAGGCTGAGCCATCAAGTCTGGCTTGGGGTGATTCTTTAGAGCCAGAGGTATAGCCAGAAAATGATGGTTTTCAAACAACCTGGCTTGTCACCAGGTTATGAGCAAGCTCTCATTGCCCGTGGCCACTGTGCTCTTTGTCCATACACTGACTGCAAGCCCTTGTGCTGGCTCTGCTGAGCTGTCAGTTCCAGCCTCTTCCCACCTCCTAGGTGCTTACCTCCACCAGGTGTGGGGCCACCAGGCTCCAGCAGCGCATCATGTGGAGCAGGGGCCGCGCTTTGCTCCTCACAATCCTCAGCATGGCATCCCCCAGGCGGAACAGGTGGAGGGCGCTTTTTCGGTCTTGGGTGGATTTAACTTCTCCTGCAGGAAGGTGAGACCATAAAAACTCAGAAAGCCCAAGCTCAGAAATAGTCTGTCTGATTCAAGCACAGAGTGAGGTTGCAAATCTGGATACTGTACGCGGACCAGTAGGATCAGTTGGCATGGGGGGCTACGCAAAGGAGGAGAGAGCCCTAGATTCAAGACAGATGAGGTGGGTCACTCAGCAAGGCCAGCATCCCTTTCTTGTTGACCACAGTATCCCCAGAACCTAGGATGTGGACCTGGGACTTGCTGATAAGGAGTGAAGCAGTGGTTAAGTATGAGAGCTGGAAGTCAAACCTTAGGCTTGAATTCTGGCTCCACCATTTAGAAGTTGTGTTATGTTGGGCCAAAGATTTTCCTAACTCTAATTATCTCATCTGTAAAATTGGGGACAAGATCACCTATTCTCAAAGTGGCTTTAAAGGTTAAATGTGATATTATGCAGAAAGTGCTTGGTATACGGCCTGGCACATACTAACCACCATGTTTAGCTTCTATTATGCTTGCTGTTATCGTCACCCTTCACAGTCACGTTGCCAATCTTTAATGGTAACTGAAGCCCTTGCCAAGCAGACCAGGCTCCTCTGCTACTGTTTGACCCACTCTTTCTTGCTTCTGTATGCTCCTTGCCTACCCTGATCCTGGGCTACTTCTTTGCCACTGTCCCCTTAGTCTTTCCAATTCCTTCTTGCTCATGTCTGCTGCTTCTCTTGTACTCCTATGGAGTGCCAGTGGGCTCTTCCAACCCCAATGCTCCTTTCTAATTTGTCTTGCCATATCAAATAAACTTTGAAATAACAGTATAGGTTGAGTATCCCTTATCTGAAGTGCTGGAGACTAGAAGTATTTCAGACATTGAGATTTTTTGGAATTTGGAATATTCGCATATACATAATGAGCTATCTTAGGAATGGGACCCAAGTTTAAACAAAAAAGTTCATTTATGCTTCATATACACCTTTACACATAGCCCCAAGGTATTTTAATTTTCCCTTGAGGATCCTGAGTAAACTGTGTGGTGATCCTGCATTTTGACTGTGACCTGTCACCCGAGGTCAGGTGCAGAATCTTCCACTTGTGGCATCACGTCAGTGCTCAGAAAGTTTTGAATTTTTGAGCATGCTGGATTTCAGATTTTCTGACTGGGGACACTCAACCTGTAACAGTAATCATGGACATTTACTGGATGTTTACTCTGCATCAGACATCGTGTTGGTCTTTATGTCTTTAATCACTTTAATTTTCAAAGAAATCTTAAGATGTAAATATAACTATTATTTTACAGAATAGAAAATTGAATGCCTGAAAGGCAAAATGACTCTCCTCCCACGCTGCAGCTGGTGAGTGGTGAAGGCAGCATTTAACTCCAGTCCTGTCTGATTCCAAAGCAAGGCTCCCTCCTCCCAGGCTTGCTGCCTCTTCCCAACCTGCTCATTGTTCTTTGTGAGCTCAGAGCCTACTGTTTTCTCCAGTGCAAAAGACTTTGAAAGTTACACCTGGGCTCAGAGATGCTCTGGAAGTCTGGTGGGTCTGGGAGGGTGGCTTTTATAGCTAGGGTTTTAAACTCTATTACTAATGGGGAAAGGACTATGGTTTTCAAATCCAAATCTGCAGCAAGGATGAAGAATTTCAGATTCCTAAGGATGGAAGGAACCTCAGAGGTTGTACAAGTCAGCCTGCCACCAGAGTGCGTCCTGCCTGAACCCATCTGGACAAGGTGTTCACTGTTTCAGCACAACCACCTGTACTGCTGATGAACAGTTCCATTCGTGAACAACCTGTCACCCCCTTGGGACCCTTGGGTAATTCGGTGTAGTTCTACTCTCTCTTCCACAAGATTGGCTTTCAAGAGGGCTTTATCTCTTTTCCTGGCCTCATCCATGAAGACAGAGACAATCATCAATGGACTATGCCTCTGAGATCAGTTTTTAAGAGCAATATGAGGTTTCTAGTTTTCTTTTTCACTATCCCTTTTGTAAATGATAGGTGCTGCTACCTGTTGGCTGGACAGAGGTGAGTGGTGTGGTTTGTGATATGGAGAAGGGTTCCTACCCTCATGTGATGCTCTCTGTTCCTTAAGAAGTAGCCATGCAATTTCTACCTCACAAGCACAAACCTTAGCAGACCCCACCCAGCTCTAGTGGCCGTAGCCATAGATGTGGCAACATTTCCATTCATGAAGTTATGTGAACCCTCATACAACGCGCCTCAAAACTCAGAGACAAATCTGTACTTAAGCTTAATCATGTGAGCACGGACAAAGGGAATGCAGACTCAACTCTTCAGGCATGCTGCTGGTGATAGAAACCTGGGCTGTTTTCTACTAAACCCGGCACCATCTCTTCAGGGAAAGAATTACCTGGCATTGCCAGAGAATAATCGACTGTATCTGTAACGGAATGGAAAAGCTGAGACTGCGAAGCTTTCTTCAGCTGGTAAAGAAAACCTCCAAGAGCCATGAGATTCAACTTATCCGTAGCATCTTCAAAGAGCCTGAATGTAAACCAAAAGAGATCTGTTATTTGGAAGCAATTCAGCAAGGTCTTTATGGCAGAATGATTATGGTAATTTTGTTGATGTGATTAATGAAAATGCTGTGTAAACACTGCAAACAAATGTGTGGATTATACCAATTATTACTGTGTACAAGTCTGCTCTAACCATGAGATTTTAATTCAAAGGGTACAAAGCATATTTTTAAAAAATATCTTTGTACCCTCATAGTCCAACTCAGCTATGGTGGCCTCTCATAAAATGTTTGGTAAGAAGCTGAAAGATGGAAAAGCGTTGCTCCCAGACACTAGAAATGGAATCCTGGGAATTAGTTTTGATTTCATAAACTATGTTTAAAAAAAAGTAAAGTAATCAAGAGGCTTTTGTTTGCCTATAATTACGAGTATGTTGCTGGGCTTGGCACCGAGCAGGATACAAAACCAGTCTCGACTGGATCCAAGTCCCCAAGGGTGGGGACTGGCCTCATATACCCAATGTCCTAGATGTTATGGAGGCTCAAGTGTCTGTTGGAAGAAATAAGGTTCCCTAATACCATAATCCTTGCAGATTTTTTTGTTTTGTTTTCCACTCAGCGGACCCAGACATTGCCAGCAGTAGGATTTAGGAAGGAGTGGAGGACACAACAGCAAGATTTAGAGGAGGATCCAGGGGTCACAGGAATGAAGAAGGGCAAGATCATATATCAGTTTTGTGTGGCCACCATGAGGAATGCAGCAGGTCAGCCTTTTATTGCCCTGGGGTCATCCCGCTGCCTGCCCTCTGAGCCTGGGGACACACCAGACAGTGCTGTAGGGTGCGACGCTGCTTTAAGGAGAGAGTCTGCAATAGAAATTGACTCATGAGTCCTTTCTGATGCAGCAAAACGAGACACACAGGTCTTAAGATGGGAATTAGTGGATTGAACATTCATAAATTACTGAAACAAATACATTTTTCTTGCTATTTCATAATTCCAATTTTGATCCCATTTGGTTTCTGGGTCCTGTGAACTATTTCTTTTCTCTTTCCTAGTAAGAAAAGAGAGATGAATATTATATGCCACCTGACACCTGTGTATCACTTTCTAGATTCCAAGATACTTTCGTGGCCAACTTGTTGGACAAGTAGAAAAAGTGATCATGGTACTGGGTTAGTGATGGAAAAACCGAGCCTCAGTGCAGCTATCGATACAGACTTGACCAGGCAGGCAGGGTTAGTGTCAAAGCCAGGACAAGAACTCAGGTCTGAGCTCCAGACCAGGGTGTGCTGCTCCCACTAGCCAGTCCCTTCCTGTCTGTCTCTCTTGAACACATTTCCCTGTGCCCATGCTGGGGAGTCTGGAACATAATGACCACATGCTGAAGAGGTAAGTGAGGTGATAGTATGTGTGACTGATGACCAAAGGCACTTTTAGCATCAAGAAGTAGGCTGGGTGCAGTGGTTTACACCTGTAATCCTAGCACTTTGGGAAGCTGAGGCAGGAAGATTGCTTAAGCCCAGGAGTTCGAGACTAGCCTGGGCAATATGTGAGACCTAATCTTTAGAAAAATAAAATAAATAAATAAAATTAACTGCACATGGTAGTGTATACCTGTAGTCCCAGCTACCTGGGAGGCTGTGGTGGAAGAACTGCCTGAGCCCTGGAGGTTGAGGCTGTGGTAAGCTGTAATCATGCCACTGCACTCCAGCCTGGGCAACGAGTAAGACCCTAACTCAAAAAAAAACAAAAACAAAAAGTGTCACTAATCAGCTGAGGCAATTGTTGATTTTCCCTTATCACCTTCACATGACTGTTGGGCACCAATAAGTAACATATCATACTACTGGTATAGAATTTAGGTAAATAATCATAATCACAAAAATAATGGATGTTTATCATTTGCCAAGCTCTGTTCTAGGTTCTGTAAAGGTCCTAATCAATTTAACTTCCCAACTACCCTGTAAGAGAGCTACTTTTAAAAATAAGCCTGTTCTACCAACGGAGAAACCAGGGCCCAGGGAGGTGCTGTGGCCCATGACCACAGATAAGTGCAGAGCCTTGATCCCCAGGTGACCTGTCACAGACCCTCCAGTCTCAGCAGAACACGTTTCATTCTAAGTATGGGGCTTGGCGGGAGAGAGAACTATACTTGAAAAATATCAAAGAGATTTAAGGAGACCGGGTGTAGTGGCTCAAGCCTGTAATCCCAGCACTTTGGGAGGCCGAGGTAAGAGGATTGCCTGAGTTCTGAGGTTTGAGACCAGCCTGGGCAACTTGGTGAGACCTCGTCTCTACAATAAATTAAAAAATAAGCCAGGCATGGTAGCGTGTGCCTATAGCTCTACCTACTTGGAAGGCTGAGGTGGAAGGATCACCTGGGCCCAGCAGATGGAGGCTGCGGTGGCTGTGAGTGTGCCACTGCGCTCCAGTTGGGCAACAGAGTGAGATGTCAACTCAAAAAAAAAAAAAAGAGAGATTTAAGGGACTGGCTAAGGAATCAGGTTGTCCCTGGAATGATTCTAAGACATGACAGATGGATGTAAATGACACGTGATAGACACCCCAGGTAAGTGGGCTCCTGGGGCTTATGGAGACTGATCCCGTGTACCTGTCGGCCTGCGTGGAGAGGGTGAGCACCACCTTGGCAGCGCTGCTCCCACTCATAAGGCTGCCGCCGCGGAAGTCAGAGGCTCGGCCCCGGCTGCCTTCCCGGACCAGGTCTTGAATGGACAGGGGTTGGATGACGTGGGCTGTGTTCAGGGAGCGCCCCTGCTCCAGGCTCTGCTCCTGGGGCAAACCCTCACACTCGGGGTCCCCAAGGAGGCTCGAGCCCCCCACCACCTTCTGGGGCTGGCTGATGGTCAGAGGGGGCTGCGAGGCGCCATCACTGAAGTGGTTGTGCTCCAAGGTGCCCACGTACTCACATACCCTAGAAAGAGTCACAGACAAGTGGCTGTTAAGTGTCGCAGCTCAGTCAGGCAGCTTTGACCATCCCACAGTGAAAGACCAAGGAAATTCGGCCAGCTCTGCAATCTTCCCAGTTTTTTCTCCCTTAATCTTATCTTCTCTATACATAGTACTATTATTTTTATTTTTGAGTTGGACCAGGCAGGCTTGAAATAAGTAGAGCAGTTCTCAGGTTCTCTTGCTCCAGGCTGGGAGGAAGCCAGGCAAGGACGTTCTGTTCACCCCCTTCCCTCCGGTCCAGTTTACTGGTTTATCTGGACTCTGGCTGTTTGAGCTAGTTTTCCCAAGGGACTCTCTTTCCACCTATATAGTGCTCTGATTAGGAGCTGGGAAGCATTTCCTTACAATGGAATCCCAGAACAACCATACATATGGCAGACAGGCCCTCTGGCCAATGTGGGGCTCTGCCAGCCATGTCCTACCTAGTCCAGCTCCATATATGTTGTGGTCAGGTATGGAGTATGGGGGTGGTGGTCACTTAATCATGGCAAACACAGAAAAGCGTCATCACATGTGGTACAACTGCCAACTTCCAAGTTGTTCCCAACAAAACTCAGGACTAAGATGGCTCATAAGAGGTCCCTTGTCCCAGAATAAGTCCAGTTGCTGATAAAGGGCATCGTGGATAATCCACTCTGATGTTCTGCAATCATGGAAATTTTCAGTCTTACACACATTGCTCGGGTACCCTCTGAGCCTTTTCTCCCCCTTTATTGCTTGTTAGAGCAATGAGAAATGGTAGATCTGCCACTTCCATATTAAACCCATTTTGCTTCTGGCTGATTCATGCTGGTCCTCTCAATTGATCCTCTCAAGATCAGGTTTTCAACCCTGAATAATCTGCATGTTTCTCCCTTTGACACTTGATAAATAGTCATGGTTATATTTTCTTTGAAGACATCAAACTGAACCCAGCTCTGGCTGGTGCCCTGGGCCATCATCCTGGCTACTCCTGCCCCATAGTTGCTCTGCCCGACCCGGGCTTGGTGTGAGGCCTTAGGCATGTGCTGCAGAGAAGGGAGAGGATCAGCTCAGCCAGCCCTACCTTGTGCCTGTTTCATGAGCAGGTCTCCTTCCACTGCACGGGGCCTGCACCAATGCAATACTGGGGGAGACATGCTTTTTATCTTAGTCGTAGGAAGACATGGACTCTGAAGCTATCACTTTGTTTCCATCCTACAGGTACTGTGAACTATACTGACTGATCGGGAGTTTCTTTTCTACAACATTTACGGCCAGATTTTGGGTCTGTCTTTTGCACAGATGTACTATTTTCTTTCTTTGTCTAGTGAAATTAAAAGTAGACATGTCATACTTTATGTATCCATGTGGGTTATCCAAAGTCTTTCTTTAAATAAAGAAGATCTTGACAAGCATACAGCAATGCTATATCGCTGACACGTGACCAGTTTTTAGATTTGCACAGTATCATTCACTGAACTTACATGATCTTCTACCATCCACTTTTTAAAAAATTGGTTTTTTCTTCCTTCATACAACACAGCTGTCTCACATAAACAACGTCTGTAGATAAATCACAGTTCCCTGTGATTACATGTTACATGTTCTTCAAAGCATACACTCAGTTGGGCCCTGAATTCCTCTTCCCTTTTCAACTCTCTCATTTTGGAATTTATTCAGACTCTGAATTGTCATCGATTTACATGCTGGCAGGCCCTTGAGTCTACTCCTCTCCCCACCAACCTTGCACCTCCCTCAGGCTTCCCAAGGCAGGGCAGGTGTCATCAAGGGTGGGATCCCATCATGCACCTGAACACGTGTGGCCAGCAGTCCGGGTTGTGGCTTCCCATCTCCAGGCCTACGCTGAGGATGGCCTCCATGCACAAGACGTGGGCTGTGTGCAGCCACACCCCCTGCACCTTCCCAATCTGCTCCAGTTTCTGCTCCACTTTTAGTTTCACTGTGCCAGAAAGACATTTATTAAAATACCAGTCTGAGTAAGGGAGACAGAAAGGGAGAGAGAATGAAAAAAAATGAAAGAATGTGTTGTCATGCAAGGGCAAAGGGAAACGATGGACTTCACTGGCAGCAAGCTCCTCCACGCAGGTCCCCACGATTCCTCATGCAAACTGCCCAGCCAACAGGTCCCTCTATGCCATCGGTGACCTCTGCTCTGTGGCTCCAGAAGTCAGATGGATCCTGCACTGGCAGGTGCAATTCCTTGAGCTCAGGGTCAGGCACAACAGCGTGAATGGACGTCATGTGCGAATTCCAGCTAAAGCTATTTGTGACCAGACCCTTCACCCTCCCCACCAAATGGGAATACAGAAGAATTCCCGGCGGTCTGCAAGTTTTCTCTGAGATTATCTTAATGTTATACTTCCACGGTGATGTTCATCTCTAAAACAACTTAAGTATGTATATTCTGAGCAGTAGGATGACTGCTTTATAACTGAGCGTGACCATATCACTGTCATTCCCTGAGTTTATATTTGTATTTGTGAGCTCTAAATGATACTTTTTAAAATTACAGATGACAAGCCGGGCTCGGTGGCTCAGCCTGTAATCCCGCGCCTTTGGGAGGCTGAGGTGAGTGGATTGCCTGAGCCCGTGGGTTCGAGACCCGCCAGGGCAGCGAGACCTCATCTCTACAATAAATCAAAAAATCAGCCGGGCGTGGTTAGCACATGCCAGTAATTCCGGCTACTTGGAAAGCTGAGGTGGAAGGATCTCCGGAGCCCAGCAGGTGGGAGCAGCTGCTGCACTCCAGTCTGAGCGACAGAGTGAGACTCCAACTCAATAAAATAAAATAAAATAAAATAAAATTACAGATTGACAAATGAGAAAAGATGCAGACGATGACTTAAGATGTCAATTATGCAAAATGCCAAGGTGAGACCAAACAACACAGTATCCTCTTTGAATAAAGGTTTCAAGTTGGCCAGGCTCGGTGGCTCAGTCTGTAATCCCAGCACTTTGGGAGGCCAAGGCAAGTGGACTGCCTGAGCCTGTGGGTTTGAGACCAGCCTGGCCAACTTGGTGAGACCTCGTCTCTACAATAAATAAAAAATTAGCAAGGTGTGGTAGCATGCACCTGTAGTTCCAGCTACTTGGAAGCCTGAGGCAGAAGGATTGCTGGAGCCCAGCAGGTCAAAGCTGGGGTGGCCGTGAGTGTGCCACTGCAGTCTAGCCTGGGTGATAGAGTGAGACCACAACTCAAAAAAAAAAAAGGGTTTCAAGTTATTGCACCTGGTAGAAAAACTGAGCGATGTCCCAGAACCCAGACGCACAACAAGCTAATGTCAAAGGAATCTGAATCATGTTCCTGTTGTAAAGAGCAAAGTGATTTTGAGCAAAACATCATTTGTCTCATAAATGTGACATTAATTTTATTTGTATGTAATTTGAATATTTTGGTTTTGACGTTGCGGTTTGTTTAAGAACTATAAATGGAAAGACTTCTATGTAGTTCGTGGTTGTACAATATCTAAGTAAAACTGTGACACCTTTGTTTCAGTTAACACTGGACATCTGTGAGAACTGTTTTGCTTTCAAATGAATTTCTAAATGTTATTCAGGTTTGAGGAACACTGACCTACATTGTTTTTCTCAGTTAAAAACGTACAACTGTCTCTGTGACTATTTTACTTTAAAAAAATTTTTTTTTTCCTTTTTTGAGTTGGAGTCTCACTCTGTTGCCTAGGCTGCAGTGAATTGGCACAATCACTGCTACCACCTCCACCTCCTGGGCTCAGGCGCTCCTTCCACCTTCCAAGTAGCAGGACCACAGGCACACGTCACCACGCCAGGCCAACTTTTTTGATTTATTATAGAGATGAGGTCTCACCATGTTGCTCCTGGACTCAGGTAATCCTTTTGCTTCAGCCTCCCAAAGTGCTGGGATTATAGGCATGATTCACTGCGCCTGGCTGATTTTACATATCTGATAGACAGTATTAGCACAATTTGGAACATGACTGCATTTTTCCTTTTATTTGTTGCCTGTCTTTTACCTTCTATTGCCATTAGGAAAGTAATTCTCTTTCCTTATTACTAGATGACGTCAGCTTCATTGACTCACTGATTTTAACATGTTAAAAATCAATCCTTTCTGGCATCACAAAGCTCAGATTTTTCTCTGATAAGAGCAAAGTCTTCCTGAGCTTCCTCTCATGAATTTCCTGCTTGGTTTTCCCCTTCCAAAAACTGGCCAGTCTTTCCTCCCTTGTTGTAACCTAAGGGGTCTTCAAGTGTGCACTGTGTGAAGTGCCAGAGCCAGGGACCAGATGATGACAGAGGTGTGAATAGTTCAGCCTGCTGGGCCCACAGGACTCCTGTTAGCAGCCAACTGCACTTTTCTGGTCATCTCCAGAGAGAGCTACTGAAAGCACGCTATAGGTCACCCATGCAAAACAGTTCCAAGCCTGTAGCCCAGTGGGCTCTTGTGATTGGTGGTGTACACAAAAGTATACTGCGTTATCACACAAAGAATGGGAATGTGTGTCAGCTCTCATGTGTAGGCCTGTGTAAGTATGTGCACACTACATCCAAGGCACCAGGGAGATTCTCTCTAGCTGTTACCTTGTGCTATGGCATCACTGGGTTCTTGGGCCTCCCTTTCCTCTTTCTCTTCTTGGACACAAGAAGCAGCTGCCATCTGGGCAAGGGCTGAGGCACAGTTAGCAGCGACTCCTTTAGAAGAAACAGAGAGTTACCCCTTAACCAAATGTATTCTCCAACCATTTACCTAGCAGAACCCCTTCTAAAGGGCTTCTTTCCCTCCAGAGTCATTCCCAGTGACTTCTGCGGGACCATGAGCCCGGGAACACCACTCCCACCAGTACCTAGGGCACAGCTCAGCCGTGCAGCTTTGCGCAGCCCATCGAGGCTCATGCAGATGGTGTCGCGTTCCTTCTGGTTCTGCTCTTTGATGCCTTCAGCCCCCAGAATGAAGGCCAGCCCTTTGGAGCTCCCTGCCATGCGGCCAGTCAGGGGGGTTGATAAGGTATCGATCAAATTCTTCCAGCAGCCAACTAGAATATAGCGTGCAAATGCCACGCCTGGAACATGAAGGGGGGCAGGTATGGGTCACTTTCTAGAGACAAAAATGACCTGGCAATGAATGGCATGGGCTTCTCTGGGTGTCAAATTAGCAATAATGGTCGCATGCAATTCCACCACAGGAAATATATTCAACGGGTTACATGGATTGTGTTTCACTTAGTGTTTAAAAATAATGCATGTTGTACCATCAGCAGGATGATGCTAAGTAATCAATTACTTTTTTCACCAAGACAAAATCATGATTTGCTTATGTCACCACATCATAATTTAATTGCTGGTAACACATGTGGCATATATATGTGCATAAACTCAAGACCCAAGTCGTTACCTGCCACGGTGGAGTCATCAATTCTTCTGCTCTGGGTGAAAGGAGATTCTGTGGTGGCTGAGGCCATCAGCTGGCCACCAATGGCACTGCTCTCTAAGCCATCAATATCTGCCAAGGAAAAAAAGCAAGATTTCCCCCACATTAAACATGCCATCAAAAACAAGCAAATGGACACCGCAGCTTTCATTTTTAACAAATATTCACATTATACCTATGATGTGATAAGTATATGGCAGTCTTTTATTAGATTGTACATTTCTTTATTCACTTAGTCCAGTTTTCTTTCATTGTCTTGAGTAGTTATTTGTTAGGTTGCTGTATACTTTTTATTTTAAAAAATAAAGATAAATTATTAATTATTTCTCTGTTAGAAAATCTATTGATTTCAAATATTCTGATCTCTGAACACTCTGTGTTCAAAATCCTGGCAGTATTCTCAAATTTTATATGCACAGTTAACCTAATGTGGTTTTTCTTTCAGAGCTTCCTCATATGAATGAAGAAAGGGATTTGGTAGGATAATTATATACTCTATTTGCAAAGTACAGTAGTTATACCTTATAATTTTCAAAGTGTTTTCACATAACATTTTTTAATATGACCTTCCAAACAACTCTAAGTAAGTAGAGGTAGGGTCAGTATCATTTTTCCTATTTTACAGAAGAGGAAACAAATACAATCACACACCACAAAATGATGTTTTTGTCAATGGTGGACCACATATATGACCGCATATATATGGTGGTTCCATAAGATTATAATACAGTATTTTAATGTTTCTATGTTTAGACATGTTTAGATACACAGATACCATTGTGTTAACAACTGCCTATGATATTCAGTAGGGTAATGTGTTGTACAGGTTTGTAGCCTAGGAATAATAGGCTACACCATCCAGCCTAGGTGTGTGTGAGTATATTCTGTGATCACACAACGATGAAATTACCTAACAATTTATTTCTTAGAATGTGCCCCTGTCCTTTCTAAGGACTCAAGACCATGTTGTTGGTGAGGGAAGGCATTAGACTTAGTTTCATGTCTTCTGACCCGCATTCTGGCCTCCCTACATGATACCAAACTCCAGTTTAAAATGAGATCCAAAATTACCTCATTTAAGTTTTTGTTATAACAAACTGTCATCTACAGAATTAGTTCAACATTAGTTTACATTCTGCCAAGAAGGGACTGGTGTGGGGTTGCCAAGGGTTTAGTCTTGGCTCTGAAGTAAGTAGTCTTGTAGCTCTGGCCCAGACACCCCATTCTCTGGGCCCCAAATTTCCCTGTATAAAGGAAGTAACCACTGGAGAAGTGACCATGGCATTGAAACGTAATATAGTTGAATGCAACACAGGAAGGGGATGGGAAAGGAGGGTAGTATAAATTGATTCTCTGAATTTAGGATTTCACCCTCAGCCCAATAGGATGAAATTTATTTGCATGATGTATAAAATGATTTCACTGTATCTTTGATTCTTACAGAACTCACAAGAAGACTGGAGACTTTGGGGCAACATATCAAATCAAAACGAGACAAGAAATCTATATGGCTGTTAGAGTGAGAATAGGTCTGAAATTAATTTGATTTATGGTCAAATGGTCTAATGATCATTTGCCAGAAATGTTCATTTAACAAAGTTATAATGTGTCCTATGTGCTAGGTCGAGGAATGACGAATTCAAGCAATGCATAAGTTATTCCTGCACTAAAACTCCATAATTCTACAGAACATTCTGACGTGACATTAGAGAAATGGCCACAGTTAGCACAGTGTCGATCATCTGATGACTGTTATTTCTTTTCCTTGTACATAATAAAAACATCAGACAGTCGTTTCTAAACTCTGGGTTAATGGCTGCTCAAATTCATTTGTCAGTTCACACCTGGAATATGCCACAAAGAAGCATAGAACCTTATTTTGTCAAAATCCTATGAAAAGCTCATGTTTTTCTCTCATCAATCTAAAGTTAAATACCTTTCCGTGGATGCAGCAATTGAGATTCCTGTCCCATTACAAAAGAGAGAGCTGATTAACAGTGATGACGATGAATATGGCAACTGTGAATATTCTGGTACTTGTTCATTTTATATCTACTGAATGACTCCTTTTATTAAGGTCTAGGTAGGAGATTCACAGAGATTAGTTTTGGCAGAAATATGTATTTGATAATTAAAGCTGGCATGTTTAGAATCCTCATCTAAATTCTAAGGTACTTATAAGCTCTGGGCAGTACCTTCTGTCTCCACTGAAAGGAGTCTGTGAAAACAGGTGGAAACTAAGCATTGCTTATAGGTCAACTAAATAAATGTCTCATACATATCTGAATGATAATTTTTCAAATGGATGCAAATGCTATCATGCTTTAAAAAATACAGACTGGGTCCCCTGTGCAGTATCCTGATCCCCCAGACTTGGGACCCAGCCTTGCTTCCCCCAATTCCATCTTCGTCCTGAAAGCAAGACTCTAAATGCCAGACAATGACCAGGACACTGCCACCGTGGACAGACTTCACTGTATACCCTAACTCCCCTCCTGATTCCTAAATAGTGTTGCCAACAAGTGCCAACAAGTGCCCCAAATTCCTTGTTGCTGGGGTCCACCTGCCAGCAGTCCATGCCACCTTTGTAAGAGTCCTAGTACTAATCACAGGCAGTATAACATACCTTTGGACGATGAATTCTACCTCTCAGCTGGACTTTCCCGCCTGGCCCAGTTGTGTTCCTGCCTGGACAGAGCCATGCTGAGCTGTGTGAGGATATGGGACACTCCAGAAAGGGCAGCAGGTAGCTGGGGGCAGGGTCCTACTCAGCATCTCCTTCAGTTGCAGCCAGGAAAGGATAATTAAGATCAGAAACCAGGCTGGGAACTAAAAGCAAACCCAAGAAAAGCCTGGAGCTCCCACTTATTAAGGCAACTGATGACCAGACTAAACTTTTTTGAGTACTCCCTTATCTTTCACTGGCATTGTGGCAGAGCCATGAGAAACTATGAAAAACTCCTTTTGCCAAAGTATTTCTTCAAAACAATACTGTAAACTACTTTCTATGCTCTCACAATAATTTAAAACTTTTAAACAATAATTTAAAAACTCTGGACACAAGACAAAGATGCTGTGTGGGCAAGCATTTGGCATTATTTTTTAATTTCTGGTGTAGCTGTGATGGGAAGGGAGTGCCTCTGATATAGACAAGAAATTGGAATGAAGCCAAGTTTTAAATCAATCATACATGATGGGCAAAATTCTGGGAGCACTGAGTGATATGGGCATTGTTTGCATATGAGAGCTTCTAGGAATAATCCCTGGCTTTGTCCCCAGAAAGTCCTGTGTATCTACAGAAGAAATCTATAGTTTTATGCTAACAGACAAAGGTGCTAAGTTAGTTCGTATCTAATGGGGCACAGTGAGTCCTACAGACTCCCATGTGGAAAAAGGACAAAAACTCTTGTGGGGTGAGTTTCTGGTACCTCCCTAGAACTGTCACCATCTGCTGGGGAAGCGTTGAGGGTGCTGTTTCAGAGTCTGCTCAAAGCACCATTGCTTCGCTGAATGAGGCTTTGGAGCATGAGCCATCCCACCCTACTGCGTGCCACAGACATGAAAGGAGTCACTGACCCGTCAGCATCGTGATGAGGGGAAGGCTGTTGTCTTCTGGGCTGCCCCAGTAGCCAGCCTCTCCAAGCATGTTTCTGTCGAGCACCTGATGGTAGAGTTCCTCAATCCAGGCCTGGGAGAAGACCATCAGCACCCCACAGGTCTGGACCTGCTTCATGAACTCTTTCTAGAGAGAGATCACAGGAGAAGGTGACCAAACACTGTCCCCTGTAAAGGAACAGGCTCCCAAGGGCCTCTGCCACTTTGTCACTCAGCCTCGAACCAAATCAAAGTTTATGTATTGGGGTAGTCAGAGGCAAGTGGGAGAGGCTGAGATGGCAAAGTCCCAAATGTCCCGAGGTTCCTGTCACTTATGACACCTTTCGACTGATACCTTGTGGGAGGATTACAGAGACTACATTTTACATTTTCACTTTTTGTTGTGTGGGAGGGTTCCCAGTTGCACAGATGTCTTTGACAGAGTCATAGAGCTTCCTCTTCTAAGATCCCAACAGCAGATGTGGCATGCGCTCCCAAGGGAACATATGCAATTCAAGAGAGAGTTCACATACACACCTACCCTTGGGAAGTTACAATTTACTATGTAAACAAATAATTGTTGATTCTCTTCATGCAGATTCATGGGTTTAAGCTCAGGAACTGAGCTTAGGACACATCATAGACTGACTTGCTTATCAGTCAAGGGAGTTAAGCACAGAATAATCAACATTATTCTCATTCCACACCCTCCAGGAGGTGTTTGTATTATCAACTGTCAGTAGGTTTAGCTCTGCATCATTAGTAGGTCTGGGAACATTGTAGAATACAATGAAGAGTTTTTACAAGAGAGCATCTTCATTTCCTGCAATTCCCTGCATGTCGTCTGATCTCACTGATGAATATGTTGTGTTTTTGAATGTGATTTATGGACATGTGTGTTTAAATGTCACTGGATACCGGGTGTGGTGGCTCACACCTGTAATCCCAGCACTTTGGGAGGCTGAGGCAAGAAGACTGCCTGAGTCCATGGGTTCAAGAACAGCCTGAGCAACATGGCAAGACCTCATCTCTACAATTCATCAAAAAATTAGCCAGGTATGGTGGTGCATGCCTTGTCGTTCTAGCTACTTGGGAGGCTGAAGTGGAAGGATCAATGAGCCCAGCAGGTCGAGGCTGCGGTGGCCATAAGCATGCCACTGCACTCCAGCCTGGGTGACAGAGTGAGACTCCCACTCAAAAACTAAAAAAATGTCATCCGTCTCTTCCTCGGCGCTGCCTACCGAGGTGGCAGCCATCTTCTACCCAGTGTCATGGCTGCCCTCAGACCCCTGGTGAAACCTAAGAGCATCAAAAAGAGGACCAAGAAATTCATCTGGCAAGAGTCAGACCAATATGTCAAGATTAAGCATAACTGGTGGAAACCCAGAGGTATTGACAACAGGGTACATAGAAGATTCAAGGGCCAGATCTTTTTTTTTTTTGAGTTGGAGTCTCACTCTGTCACCCAGACCAGAGTGCAGTGGCCACTCCCGGCCACCGCAGCCTTGACCTGCTGGGCTCCGGCGATCCTTCCGCCTCAGCCTTCTGAGTAGCTGGAACTACAGGCGCACGCTACCACGCCTGGCTAATTTTTGATTTATGTAGAGATGAAGTCTTGCCAAGTTGCCCAGGCGGGTCTCGAACCTGCGGGCTCAGGCAATCCACTCACCTCAGCCTCCCAAAGGCGCGGGATTACAGGCTGAGCCACCGAGCCCAGCTCAAGGACCAGCTCTTGATGCCCAACATTGGTTATGGGAGCAACAAGAAAACAAAACACGTGCTGCACAGTGGCTTCCAGAAGTTCCCGGTTCACAATGTCAAGGAGCTGGAAGTGCTGCTGATGAGCAACAAATCTTATTGTGCTGAGATTGCTCATGACATTTCCTCTAAGAACGGCAAAGCCATTGTAGAAAGAGCAGCCCAGCTGGCCGTCAGAGTCACCCATCCTAATGCCAGGCTGTGCAGTGAAGAAAATGAATAGACAGCTCATGTGCACGTTTTGTGTTTAAATAAAACCATAAAAACTGCAACAACAACAAAAATGAAACCGGATAAAAGCACTGAGCCCTCTGCAGGCAGACTTTTCATGGCCTTTTGTGTCCAAACCTTCTTCACTGGAGCCTGGTAGGTAGTTCTGAGACTCATAGTGGGCAGCTGCACACCTGAGCCCTTATGCATCATGAAAGCCCCACGACCAGGCCAGAACAGCGTGGCACAGAACATGCTGTACTATTCCTCTCAGTGCACTGACGCGTGGATGCATATTAGGAGGTCATAGTCTGCACTCGGGGTGCCCCATGCAGGACCCCACACTCACCATCACACCTGGCGCCAGGGTGGGCCGCTTCCTGTAGTAGTCACCATGGGAGAGCTTCAGGTTGAGGAGTAGAGCACAGTGTGTGGCCGTGTACAGGCTGTCTGCGTTCATCAGCATCTGGAAGCCGAGGCTGCTGTTTCCGTCAAAGCCAGGAGAGTGCATCATGCCTGAGGGTGAAAACCAAGAGACTCATGGGGCTGTGGACAGTGCGCTGGGCAAGACTGGCTTCTGGAGAGCCATAACCAAGCCTAACGAAAGACACCGCATGTTGTAGAACATTTCTGGAGAGCAACAGCGAGGAATATCATAAGGGTCAGACACCACCCTATCCTGGTGGAAAAGAGCATGCACTCTGGAGGGGATCTTCCTGGACCTGAATCTTAATGTCTTACTTAGCAGTTATAAGTTCGATACAGTCATAAACCCTCAAGTCTCACCTCCTTTTTCTACAAACAGGAAGAGTAATTGACTGCATTCTATCCCTTGCTTGAACCCCAGTGGTTTCCCATACAATGTAATAAGACCTCAACCTCACCCTCCTCTCTCCCCATTTCCTGCAGCCAATCTGACCACCTGCTGTCCAAGTCAAGCCTGAATCTGTCTCAGGACCTTTGCATTTGATTTTGCCACTTCCCGGAAAGGTCTACCCAGGACCTCTGGATGACTTGCTCCTTCAGTTCTTCTAGGTCTCTGGCTTGAGTGTCTTCAGTTCCATTAAATAGCATCCCCCACTTTTATTCTCTGCTTCCTTATCCTGCTTTTAAAAAAGTTGCCATAATGACATTTATTTTACTCAGCATTGTATTAATATACATTTGTTTATTGTCTGCCATCACCACTGTAAGATCAATGAGAAGGTGGCATATTGTAAGTTTTACTCACTATAGAATCGCCAGAGACTAGAACAGGGTCTAGTACATAACAGACCTTTGAAAAGTATTTGCTGAGTGGATGGACAAGCTTGCTATGAGAACTAGATGCAATAATGCATGTAAGATGCTTAGGACAGTTACTTACAAAGGCAAACTTCTCAAAAAGTACAACTGCTTCTCAAAAAGCTAAACACAGAACTGGCAGATGACCCAGCAAGTTTACTCCTATATACCCCAAGAACTAAAAGCAGGCATGTGCACAGATATGTGTACATCAATGTTCACTGCAGCATTACCTACCCAAGCAAAAAGGTGGAAACAAAGTGTCCGTCAACAGTTGAATGGATAAACAAAATGTGATATGTATATAAAACGGGTATTAGCTATAAGAAGGAATGGAGTTCTGATACATCCCACAACATAGATGTGCTTGAAAACGTTAAGTGCCAGGCACAAAATGACAAATAGATATGATCCACTTATATGAAGCACCTAGGATAAACTCACAGATACAGAAAGTAGATTGGTGGTTACCAGGGACTCAGGGGAGGGTAGTTTCTACTCGGGATGCTAAAGAAGTTCTGGAAATTGTGGTGATGTTTGCACAACATTGCGAATGTGCCAATGGACTGCACACTTTAAAATGGTTAAAATAGAAAATTTTATGTTATCTGCATTTTGCCACAATTAAAACAAATAACATATCAAAGCCCATTGAATTGTATACTTTAAATAGGTAAACTATATAGTGAATTACTTCTCAATAAAACTGTTAAAAAATAAATGAGGAACTAAAGACCGTAAATAATAGCTATTCTTTTTCTCCTATTTTTTTCTCAAAATGATTATATAAAATACTATTTTATATTTAATAGGTTTCATTTTGAAGGGCCCCGAGAGGTTCATACAAATTGGCTGAAACAAGCAAACAATGGTGTCTCATGTTCCAGAGATGGGCTCATTCAGCCAGAATGTCGGTACTGGGTTCAAACTTTCACAGACAGCTTGAAAAGACAAAAAGTACCCAAGTCTTAGGTGTGGTGGCTCATGCCTATAATCCTAACACATTAGGAGGCCAAGATGAGAGGATTGCTTGTGCCTAGGAGTTTGAGACCAGTCTAGGCAATATAGTGAGACCGCATTTCTACAAAAAAATAGAAAAATTAGCTGGGTGTGGTGGTGCTCACCTATAGTCCCAGCTACTAGGGAGGCTGAGGTAGAAGGGTCACCTGAGCCCAGGAGGTCGAGGCTGCAGTGAACCATGATGGTGCCACTGCACTCCAGTCTGGGTACAGAGTGAGACCCCCAACTCAAAAACAAAACTACACAAGTCAGCTTCCCTGCATCTGCTGTGATGCTAGTCTGAGGACTACCGGCAGACAGCCATTTCCAGACCCACAGGTTCTTCACTGGGTCCCAGTGGGTAACTCTGCAGCCCACAGAGCTGTGCAGCTGCACAACTATGCCCTTACACTGCCATCTTCCACCCTGCAAAGTCCCACAGGCATGACCAGTCCAGAGTAGTGTGGAACAGAATGCACTGTGCCATTCCTCTCAGGGAGCCATGAGCGATTGGTAATGAATGTCCCATGTGTTCCTGCAAACACTCTGAGGCAGGACTTAGTGATGTGGGAGCAACCCACATATGTCCATCCCTACATATGTGCATGTAAATCACACATGTCCATACATTCTTCAGACCATGTCTAAAAGTATGCCTCTTCTACGACATGGAAAGGTTTTCCAGAATTAACAAATAAACAAGAAATACAAATTTCTAACTGGAAATGATTATTCATGACTTTATCCCTGTGAATTTTGTTTCATTTTGTTTTAGAGAGACAGAATCACGCTCTGTTGCCCAGGCTGGAGCGCAGTGGCATGATCACGGCTCACTACAGCCTCCGCTTCCTGGGTTCAAGCAATTTTCCTGCCTCAGTTTCAATCTCTTGAGTAGCTGGGGCTACAAATACAACACATCACACTTGGATAATTTTTTTTTTTTGAGTTGGAGTCTCATTCTGTCACCCAGGCTGGAGTGCCGTGGCATACTCAGGCAACCCCTGTGTTGACCTGCTGGGCTCTGATGATCCTTCTGCCTCAGCCTTCCAAGTAGCCAGAACCACAGGTGTGTACTACCACACCTGGCTAATTTTTTTTATTTATTGTTGAGATGAGGTCTTGCCAAGTTGCCTGGGCTGGTCTCGAACCTGCAGGCTCAGGCAATCCTCTCGCCTCAGCCTCCCAGAGTGGTGGGATTACAGGCTGAGTCACTGAGCCTGGCCAATTTTTTTTTTTTTTTTGAGTTGGAGTCTCACTGTCGCCCAGACTGGAGTGCAGTGGCCCCTCCCGGTCACCGCAGCCTCGACCTGCTGGGCTCCGGCGATCCTTCCGCTCAGCCTAATTTTTTAATTGTAATATTTGTAGATACAAGGTCTTGTTTTGTTGCCAAGGCTGGTCTCAAACTCCTGGCCTCAAGTGATCCTCCCACCCTGGCGTCCCAAAGTGTTGGGATTACAGGTACACAGCATCCCTCCTGGCCTAACCCCATGAATTTTAATGAATATGCAAGTATGGAGCTATGGACCAGAAAAAGCTTTCCAAATTGAAAACATTCAAAACCTTTGTTATATTTGAGAATAATATAAACATTTTTTGGTGGGAGTAAGTATGTACTTTATTCCAATACAACCACCTTCAACAAGCAGTGGTTAGGCCATGCCTCTATCTTGCATTACAGAGTTCTTTAAGAACTCATCAGCTACCTCAAGTGATTTTTTACTGAGAGAACCTTGAGATCATAGGCCAAGGTACGTTTTTAATGAAAGATCAGGTTGTGAGGGGGATTTGAAAACTACATCCTTGGTCAGGATGAGGGCAGTGAATCTCAGCCCTGATGGTCCATGGAAACCCCAGTAGTTTTAAGGTCCTGGTGGAGTTGTTTCCTGTTCTCTGAGAGAGACACAGGGTACAAGATCAATCTCCTTTCATAGTAAAACATAAAACAACAGCATTCAGGGTTTGGTATTTAGCTATCTTGGATCACAGATGAAAAGTTCATATGAATCTATGAACAAGGAAAGGAAAATAATCTGTAAGTAGCTTTGGTCTTAGGCATTAGTAATAATTTTTTAAAAATTGAAATTAACTAAAGCATACCTTGGAGATATTGATATTTTAGCTCCAGATATAATAAAGTAGAAATTGTTAAAAAAAAAAAGTAAGCAATACATAGTTTTTTATTTCCCACAGCATATTGTTATGTTTACATTATAGTTGTCTATTAAGCATGCAGCATGTAAAAAAAATGTACACACCTTGATTAAAAAATAATCTATTGCTAAAAATGCTAATGATCATCTGAGCCTTCAGAGAACCATAATCTTCTTGCTGATGGAGGGTCTTGCCTCAATGTCAATGGCTGCTGACTGATCAGGATGATGGTTATGAACGTTGGAGTGACCATGGCAGTTTCTTAAAATAAGATAACAATGAGGTTTGCCACACTGATTGATTCTTCCTTTCACAAAAGATTTCTCTGTAGAGGGCAATGCTGTTTGATAGTATTTTCCTACAGTAGAACATCTTTCTAAATTCAATCTTCTCAAATACATTTCTTTATCAACTAAGTTTTTGTAAATCTTCTAAATTCTTTGTTGTCATTTCAACAATGTTCACAGCACCTTTACCAGGAGTAGATTTCGTCTCAAGAAATTGCTTTCTTTGCTCATCCATAAGAAGCCTTATCTGTTGACATTTGATCATGAGATTATAGCAATTCAGTCACACATTCTAATTTTAGTTGCCTTGTTATTTCTACCACATCTACAGTTACTTCATGCACTGAAGTCTTGAACCCCTCAAAGTCATCCATGGGGGATGGAATCAACTTTTTCCAAGCTCCTGTTAATGTTGATACTTTGACCTTTTCCATGAATCACAAACTTTTTTTTTTTTTTTTGAGTTGGAGTCTCACTCGGTCACCCAGACTGGAGTACAGTGGCCGCTCCGGGCCACCGCAGCCTCGACCTGCTGGGCTCCGGCGATCCTTCCGCCTCAGCCTTCCGAGTAGCCGGAATTTCAGGCATGCGCTACACGCCCGGCTGATTTTTTGATTTATTGTAGAGATGAGGTCTCGCCTGCCCAGGCGGGTCTCGAATCCATGGACTCAGGCAATCCACTCACCTCAGCCTCCCAAGGCGCAGGATTACAGGCTGAGCCACCAAGCCCGGATAACTTTTTTTTTTTAAGTGAGAGAGTAGGATTTATTGAGAGGACATAAAAGCTCCCACATG